TGGTTCTATCCCATTTATTCCCATTTCCTGTTTGTGACTAAAATATTACAAATCGAATACTCTTTTAGAACATTATCTAGATCCATGAGCACTATTATGACATTTCAGGGTAGGCTGCAATTGTTAATAAATACGCTATTATTAAACAGAGTAAACAGCACAGAAATATCCTCCATCAACTCAAGAAAAAGGCTAGAGATATTAACTCTGTCATTTGATGTTCCAGAAACTGAAAGTAAATAACATGGTCTTCTGTGAATATTATTAAGTTAATTATGATCTCAATATGTTGAATTTAGTGAAAAGTCATCTTTTTTTGCAGAAGGTTAAATGCATAATCTAAGAAGTGAGGTACTTACCTTAGCAATTCTTCTGGATCTAGCCTCTATTGTGTTTTAGTTAATTAGATCATTATGTTAGTGGAATAGATAAGATGATCATATGATTTGGAATATCTTAAGAAGTTTCACATCCCCAGCACAGTAAAAAAATCAATTCTATTTTTCCTTCATGCAGTGGAGGCTTTGAGTTGGATATTTAATCAGATGTTCTGTATTTTCACCTATCATTTACTTTGCCTTGAGATATCACAGAGTAAGGATATTTCTACTTTCCAAAAGCCCTTTAGCCCTTCATAATGGGTGGTAGAATATGAAGATCTTCCAAAATGTGGAGCATTAATGGGCATCTATAGTGATCAAGATAACTTTCTCCATATTTGGAAGTACCTCACTCTCTACTTTGGTGGACAGGTTGTTCAGGGAAGAATCAAAGAAGTTTAATTTTTATATTGAATTGAAGAAAAGCGTATACAAAATAAAAATTAGCAATTCTAAGTACATTAACTAACATTAAGGGAAATGGTGATTTCCACCTGGTGTATTAAACAGAATACAGAATCACAGAATCTTATGGGTTTAAAGGATTCTCTGGAGATCATCTGATCTGATCCCTCTGATAAAGACAATTCCTTAGAGCTGGTTGCATTTCATTGTCCATTTTACAGTTAGAAGCCAGATTCAGAGATTCTGAACTCTGAGAAATTGCAAGTAAAGCAATTGTTGTATACTTTACGGACATTCCCTGACTCGAACCTTGAAGAATTAACATATCATGAATTTCCACAAAGCATTTCTAATAGCCTAACAAACAGGAAGCTTCTCAAATAGCACTAAGTACAGGATGTAACAGCTGCTGAACATTTCTTCTTTCCTTCCTGTTCTTCTCTTTAAGAATTTAAATATACTGTCTTGAATGAGGTTGCTCCCAGAGTTAAAATGTAACCTTAGCAAGCTGTACAAACATCGCGGCCAAATATCAAAGTGTTCAGAGAAGAAAAGTGTATATTTATTTAAATATATATATATATATATTTGAGAAGGGAGTTCCAAAATGACTCTATGTACACTTGATGTCAAAGATGTGCATTCCAAATCTGTAGCATGCTTTTATTGGTTTATTGTAAAGGAATGACAAGCAATATTTGTTTTTCTGCTTTACTGTAATGCGTTATATTCTTGCTTCAGTTTCCATTCCATTTCTTCAAGGGCAGTAGTCTCATGACCCTTTTTCAAATATCTAGATTTTCAGTGTGGGTAGAAAATGTTTCTTATTAGGGCAAACAAGACTGAGAGATGTGAACATAGTCAGTTAAAATGCTCTTCACTTAAAAAAAATATGGGAGATGTTTCATAGCTTTTAATAAGAGATTTGGATCTTGTTTAGAGTTGTAGTTTCACTATATCAGTTTTAATGCTGACCACATTGCACTTGCAATAAAATGAAACTGCAAATATAATACCTATATAAACTGTTCTGCAGGAATGCTTTGCTAAGAAGATATTATTTATGCTGAGGCCATTCTTTCATTCAACAAGCAAAAAGTACCAAATAAAATCTACTTACTCTGCTGGTCTTGAATGTTAAAAATAACATTTGTTGATGTACAGCAGTTAATCCCTAAACTATGCCTATTTCTTCTGGATTCACTCATAATACATACTTGATTGTAAAAGTATAACATATTCTGTTCTGTATTGCCTAATTTAGTTGAGGGTAGTTTCCAAGAAAGAGAGTTTGATTGGCACAATTTATTTCAGTTCTGTTAACAAAACACAGAGAAACAGATATTGTTAAGTGTCATTACAATAATCAAACTTTTCCTTTGAAGAAAGTAGTTTTCAACTTGCATCACTTTGTCTGTAAATCTAAAGACTTTTGAAGCTGTTTTGGGATCAGTGACTAACAGGGCAGAAAATGAAAATGCAGAGCAGGAACAATATAAACCTCATGTGTTCCTTGTCTTTGAGAGATACACAGCAGGTCAGTGACGCCAAACAACTCAGCAGCTGTTAATTGTGCATGTGTTAGGGAAAAACTGTGAGATGTTCTCAGTAAAAAAGAATATAATCACAAGAGTACAATCAGCAATCAAAATGCCAGGAGGTGTATTTGGCCTGTTTAGGTAGGGAACAAATGTTAGTTCAGTTAAGAAGTTATTTTTCCTTATTGTTTCCTAGTAACAAATTCTGCATCTAAAATATGCAATATTTACCTGTTTCCTTATTCTTCACTACACTTTATGTTGCTGTACATGAGTGTGACTAAATTTATCATATTTTAATAACTTACTGAAAGTAAGTTTTAACTAGGAATGTTATTTAACATCAGGCAAAATAGAAAACTTCAAATAACAACTAGCCTGTTATCTAGAGGACATTTAGAATGTGGCTATATCTACATCAGTATAGTAGCTCAGATCACAAAAGGGGCATTTTGAGCTGAATAACCTTGTCATCCATTAGCTGTATTTTTGGAACAACCAATGTAATTATTTTAGAACAAGTGAAATGGATTCCCTTCTAACAGAACTGAACAGAACTGCACTCCAAAAGAGCACCTGGTATCCTCCTGGACATTCAGGTTACAGGCCAAGAGACAGGCCAAGATTTATAATGTGTATTGCAGGTGTTAGTTCCTCAGGTTCAATTTCTTTTTCTGCAGGAAAAAAAAAAAAAAAGATCATATTGCACTACATAGGCTAATATTGATAATGTAGCTTATTCTGCTTCTTGACATTGATGTAGTTGTACAGTTTTAAAACTGTACAAAATAGTGATAGGGTTCTATGATGTTACAGAAAAGCATATTTAATTCATACTTTTTAAATAATGGGAGAAGGTAACAGGCAATTATTTTTCAGCAATGTAACTCTTTTGGAAGTAGAAACAACCAAACTTTCTGTAAGCATTTAGGAGATGAGAAGATGAATAACAGATGTTTTGGATTTCTTAGAAGGAAATTGTATCGTATCAGCTTATCTCTTCACACTCATAGCAGGAAACTATGAGAAACATATCTTTAAGGATTTCATCTCATCACAAATTCTGATAAGGAAAATAAAAAGAACATCATTAAACTGTTATTACGTGTCTGCATAACTACTTAGAAAGCTAACTCCACAGATAATATTATCTATGCATTTTTTGTTGCCTTAAATAGTGTGGAAAACTTGAGATAGAGAGGGTGAGATAGAGCACATCTAGAAGAATAAATAAGTATTGGCTGATCATTTGAAACATTCAGATAAACATTCAGAATTTAATAATGTAGCGTTTGAACATTATTTATTCTGTATCCTGGATAATGAACCTGAAACAGACAAATTTTATTCTAGTTTCTTGAAATACATTGCTTTTCCCTTAAGAGATTTAGTATTGCAAGTTACTAAGGTGATATCAACATTAAGTATAATGTTTTGGTTTTACTGTCAGTTGGTTTTGAGTGTGCTTTTCTTTGGCGCCCCACAACTTGAAAAAAAAAAAAAATTAACTGAGTATTTCTTTCTCTAGTTAATAAGTATAGCAATGGTTTTAGGCTATACATACAGAAGCAATCTGTAGTCCAAACACTGAAGCTATTTAAAAATAGGGTGGACCAATTACAGTAATAAGACTTTCCCTGTGCCAAAAGAGAGAGTATACTCTCTAGCAGACTTTATATAGCATCTTAACCTAGAGAGTACTCTATTGGTGTCCCTGGAGGTGTTTAATAACAAGCTGGATGGGACCCTGGGCAATCTGATCTAGTGCTTGATGTAGCAGTTGGCAACCCTGCCTGTTGCAGGGGATTAGAACTTGATGATTGTTGAGGTCCCTTCCAATGCAAGCCATTCTATGATTCTATGATTCTATGATTCTATGATTCTATGATTCTATGATTCTGTGATTCTATGATTCAATGATTCTATGATTCTATGATTCTATGAGACTCTGCCAAATTATATACATGGCATCTATGAGGCTCTTTGAGAATGTCTCAGATATTCCACTACAGTCTTTTGATTCTACTTTCAGATCAATACAGATGTAGGCACATTTTTCTTCAAATGCTATCATAGATGTGAAAAGGAAAGACCTAGACATTGAGTACTCTTCTCCTATGCATGATGACCAAAACTTGTCTCTACCCTTAGAGGTTTCTCTTACTTCTGAGAAAATTTTCTTAACTTAAAAATAGTATTGCTTTTCTAAAACCTCTGATGTACATAATTCGATTTCCTATGTATCTTTTCTGTAACTACAGATAGCACTCTCAGTTTAGATTAAAATATTTTTCCTCTGCCAGATGTGCATATTCAACCTTAAAATCTGAAAGTTAAACCAAGATTTTGTTTGAACACTTTTTTTTTTTTTTGTCTCAAAACTTGCTTTCTGAGGCATTTCTTGTGATAAGACTCTGACTTGTCTAGGAGATGAAAGGATGGGTGTCGCTGTGTGGCAGCTGGCATCACTTTGTGGACAGTTTTACATTTGAAAGCATTTTTTTGGAGCTGTTTGCCTCTGGAAGAGAGCGCTCAGGGCTGTTTACTGGCAGAAGATCTGGCCTGTGACCTAATAACTTCAGCTTTGTGTGGGAGATTGGGAATGATACCATCATATCCTGTGAAAAACAGGATGCAGTTGGGTACCTCCCTGCTCACTCTTATCTGCTGGAAAGGATTGGAAGGGAACAAAGGAGTTTCTGTTGAAATACCAAAGCCCAAAGATGCCACTTCAAAGAGAGCTGAGTCGACCACTTTTGGACTTATAAATAAGTTTGTACAGTCATCGTTGTCATCATGATCAACTGAACAACTACCTCTGATGACCCATCACTATGGAAGATCAACATCTGCACTATGTGCAGTGCTGGACTCATAGTGGTGAATATCTGTCTTGCATTCTACAAAGACTACTTGCTTTTCTTTCCTATCTCTTTTCTATCTCCCACCTTCCCTTCCCCATCTCCTTAAGCAATTAGGATTTGTAATAGACTAGTCAGGCTAACATTTGACCCCGTTGTGTCTTAGTCTTGCCATTGGGTATATATGTATTAAAAGAACCACCTCTCCCTCCTATAAACTGTAGTGAGACAGAATTATCTTAAACAAAATACTATCTATCAAGATGGTAAGATTCAGGAGGTCAATTTATGGCCTCATTTATTCCTGTGTGACAAGATTACCTTAAATTATCTATTCATACGTACCTGTTTTCTTGGTAAGATTTCATAGGAGCACTTAATTAGAAACATACAAAAACTTGGTTCAGAAAGCCCAAGATGTGACATGATCTAGAATTCTGCTTGTAAAGTTAGCAGACAGCAGTATGAATATATTTAAAGTGCAGTGAGTTGAATAAGCCCTCAATTGTTTGTAATATGTACTCTCTAGGATGCTATCAGAACATTATTCAATTTCTGAATCAAGAGCTGAAGTTCTGAATCAAGTTCAGAATCAAGAATAAATCTGCCTCACTGGAATAAATGTTCCCTTTAGCTTTGGACATATTATATTTCTATCATCTGTGGTTTGTTCCTGAAGTAGGTGAAGCTGAAAGCCTGAGTAAAGCTGTCAGGTCAAAAATAGTAATACGGATTTTATAAATTTCTATTGTAACCTACCCAGATTGATTGACAGTTATTAATTTGCTGTTTTGAAAACCTTGAACTATCAAATTCAAATCTGTGCATTTAAATTAATGCTGAAATATAATGCTAAGTTTCAAAGTACATTGGAAAAAATTCAATAAATCAAGTAATTAATTTGTACCCTATTGGATCATTACCTTAAGATAATTTTCAAGCTACAAACACTATTACTAATTTGCATGTAAGCATTGCTATGTGAATTTGAGAATCACAATAAATAGATGGCTTGAGCATATTTTAAAAATTGTTGCAATGTGCAAAATGGGTCATCAGGCAATTAATTGAGAATTAAACAATTAAAAATTACATCATTGTAGTTGTCAGCAGAATTTTATCGCAAATTAATTTCTAAAAAATGCCTTATTCATTATTATTCATGTACTATATTTCCTTTGTCAATACAAAGATTTTAATAGTATTTAAAAAAAAAATAAAATTGAAATGCCAGATCGGGAATGTCTTATTTAGAGAACTTAACAGATAGGTGCCCATTTTGGTAGGACATTTTCACAACTGTGGTTGAGCACTTCGTCTTCCTTTCTTTGTCAAAAACAAAATGCTAGCAAGTAGATCATCTTCCTCAGATGCAGACTAGAGATACTTTTCACAAAACAGAATTCTAAGAGGCTTCCTAATGTTTCACAAATATTAACTATTTATGAAATTGTTACAAAACAGATTCTAATAGATTCTCTAATGCTTGAGTTATAATGGGAGATGAATTTATACAGTGGACAAAGAAATTTTATGAAAATGTATATACTTAAATATGCAGTTGTACTTCTCAGTCCCTTGAATCAACTCAAGATATACTCTGCCAATTTCTGAATCACAGGATGAGTTGTCCTCTATAAGCTATTTATATTCTCCCAATGTTCACATAAATCAGGATAGGAATGATCCCTTGCTATAAAAAAAAGTCTTGATTCTCCAGGACAGCAAGATACAATCACTGGTACTTCAGTGCTAAAGTCTTAACTTCCATGGCAAACAATAAACTGTGCAGCTGGTGATTACAGCCATACAACACATCTTCAGTTTCATTTTTGCCCCTTTTGTTCATTTGCAAGGAGGAAAAAACTCATATTCAAGTACAAAAGCAGTTTTGTACTATTGATAATTTAGAACTTTTGTTCTTGAAATTAAAACTATGATTAAAGTTTCCTATGCCCTTATTTTTTTTTCCTTGTTTTTATGGACGTTTTATCAATTCAACACTGTTACTAAAAGCTAACACTCCAGAAAAAAAAAGCAACATACAATCCAGTTATTTCATACCCAGAATCTGAGCATGTTCTTACACATCTACTGTATATACTACTATATATAACACGATGAATTTACATATAAAATATCATCAGAAAATATGATAAAAATCAAAGATGAAAGGAATTTAAGTGTGAATTATGAAGATTAACTAATTGAAACAAAAGAATTACCATATAGATCACTCCAAAAGTAATGCTCCTATTTATTTCCATAGAAACTACTGGGGATACGATGAGCACATCAACAGTAGTTGATTGATAGAGCAAATTCTCAGCTACAAAACACTAATTTTTTTTTTTTAGTTACCGTTAGTAATGAATTTTCACCAGCAATGAGCAAGAGCCTGCTTTCTGTGCTCATAGAATTCTTTCCCAGAGGTGACCCACTACTACTGTTGTCATTGCTGAAATGAACCAGTCACCCCTCACCATGCTCACATCCTCTGTTTGGTCTCCAGAAATGTTCAGCAAGCATAAGTGAGTGCAAGTGGGTTACATTTTTTTCTACATGGAGGAATTCAGTGACACACCTTTGATTCATACGCACTTCATATGAGATGCCATTCTGTCAGACTGCTCCTCTACTGTCATCTGTCACACAGCAACAGCATGTAACAGAATATTGGTGGGAAGGTTCTGCCTTTACTGTCATACCACCAACATCTACCCCTGACATCGTGGGTCAACATCATAAAATAGGAGGTATTGCTTTCAGAGAATGAATATGATTTGGACTACATAATAGGGGAAAATAAAAGTCAAAAGTATTTATTTTCTATGTAAGTCTACAAAGTGTATAAGAGCTCCTGTGGATACTCTGTATGCAAACATTTTCTAAACGTGTTCATTAAAATCATACACAAAAAGTCTTCTCTTAGATTTAGCATGACAACTACCTTGCCAAGAAAATGATGGGATTCTCACTATATTCCTGTTGTCACTTCCTTTAACATCCCCTATTTCCAAAATTATTTTGTTTTCCAGAAGGCCAAGTTTATTTTGGCTTTCTGTTGCAGAAATCCATAATGGCTTTAGATTATGCTGCATTTAAAATTTTAAGTCTCTATAGTTAGCAGTGCTTATTGCTGATGCCTATAACTTTTAATCTTCCTTCTGTTGGGTGAAATTAAAAGTGAAAGAACAGTCAATTAAAGATGTTTTCAGCTTTTGGAAATATGCATCTATACTTTTAGGGAGGTGACATTCCTATTGCCTCTAGATAAAATTTTTAGGTGCTCTGTGTTTATACAGATCTGTAGAATAACGACTACATGGTTTTTAGCCAAACATACATGTTCCAATACCGTGGTAAAGAGTATCCAGTTCAACACCACCCTGAATTCCTAAAAACAGTTTATTTCTTTTTCAGTACAGATATTTAAATAACATTTTCCACTTCCAACTCTGTTTTACGTAAAATGTATGTGTTCTGATCTTCTGGCTGACTGTTCAGTGGTTTGTGTCATGTTGTGTTTTGTCAGTCAAGGCAAGGTGACTGAAGCAAAGTGATATGACTCATTAACTACTAGAGATTTCAGCAGCAAACATCAAACCCAAATCTCACTACCTTCTTAAAACGTAATTGCTTTTTATTCTTGAAAATAGTGTTTTCCAACCTGTTTTTATAAAGGCAGATTGTTTTAAAATTGTCTTGGCATGGGATACAGATGGCTTTGACTTGTTTTTGTTTTGAAATGCTTAACACATCTCTAATTGCATGAAAACATTACTTAAGTGTTTGAATCTGCAACTTTATTTTATTTTGGCATAAAGTACAGTAGAAGCTTTAATAGCTTGTGATGGTGGAATGGAAATTAAAATGTAAATGTTCCTGTGTTAATAAGAAAAGCTTCTCATCTTAAACTGATTGCTTTTTTTTTTTTTTTTTTTTTTTTTTTTTGTAACTAGGAACACCATCAGAAGAAACAGAACAATGTAGCAAGAGGAATGAATCTTAACCATACCATCTAATTTGACTAGCACTATGCTAATTAAAAATTCCAGAGGAACAAATTGCTTTAACATTATTCACTGTTCAAAAAGATGTCAGTGTTATTAGAACCCAGATGTATATTAACACTTTTAATATAGTGTACAAAAAGAAGTATTTTGGTTTTGTGATTAATGCTTCTTGAAGACATAGGAAAAAATAATTCATCAGATTTCTTCTCTTATTATCGATGTCATGTTTTTTTCCAGATACAGCCAAGATATTTGAAGAGATTTTTTGTTTCACCTACTTTTCAGCACCTTCTAGTGGAAGGACCAGCCTTCAGGTACATTCCTATCTGACCCCTCTTAAAGTGATCCAATTCAACTTTCAGTACTTCTAGTGATTATGTGTTCCAACTTGACTTACTCTGATGGAACTGGGTTAGTATGGGCCATAATTATATACACATTCTGACACCTGAGAAGTTAGCAAATTCTGATTGTTAGACAGCTTTTGCCCCTCTCATCTGTATTTCTTTGAGTTGTTATATCAGTATACTTTTCTTTATCAGTTGAGAATACAAGCTGCTGTGGAGAGAATTCAGTTTGTTCTGCAACTGAGAAATACCCAGTAGTTGTTCGGAGCTCTTCTGCATTTCTGAAATGAATGAATTCATAGCAAATAAAAACAAAATGAAGAGTATTCTCCAACAATCTGTTATTGTAACCAGAAGCTGTTCAGGTGTGTTTGAAGTCTGCTTCTTTTTCATTGAAATTGGGATTTATAAGACAAGATGATTAATTAAATGATTCTGAGTATACACTGCAAGCAAGTTTTGAAGAAATTGTTAAAAAAAAAATCAAAATATGGACAACAGTTATTTCAGTATATATTTTTGTGTAATAGCAAACAGAAGAAAGTAGAACAGACAAGAGAATGTAATACTGCTTTTCCATCTACTTCAGTTTTGCATGTTGTGAAGGCTAGAGTAACCCTAGACTTCAAATAAGCTTGCAGTGTTCTCATAATAAACAGACTTTTTCTGGACATAACTGCCATTCTGGTTATAAGTTTATGGAATCCTGTACTTCTTGCATCTAAAAAGGTCCACAGAATTAGTAGGATACCTTCCTCTTCTTATACACTAGCACAAAGTAAGTATATGATGATTTGCTTTATTTTGACTAGGTGAGTCGAAAGCTATTTCCTAGTAGTTCACTGGGAATCTCAGGCATTTTGCATTCAAGATGAAAATATTCACATATGTTCGTGTGCAGATCTGCATTATTCAAATGGACTACAATTTCTAAAGTGTTTCTAAAGTGCTCAGTGAGAAAAGGTGCAGAAAGACAGTGTGGAAAGACATGCTGGATCTGAGGTGTAATTTCAGAGTGGGGAAAAAAAATGTAGGATTTGTAATGAAACTGATATCGAGTAGTGTAAAGAGCAAGCATTTTGAAGTTACTTGAACCTGATACATGTAAGGGTCTCTATGCTAGAAGCTGGCCTCTAGATAATCCATGATCATGAATAAAGAGGCAAGATCTCGTGGATGTCAACACCTCATACTCTGCATATATGCATTTCTAGAAATGGGAAAGTTCCATTGTTCTTCCTTGAGGCTGAGTGCCTGCACACAGCAAAGTGAGACAGCTACAGAAGCTGTCATGTGCACAACATCCCAGGTTAAAATGCCTGTTTCAGTATAGTTGATAAAGGCATAGTAACATCATCAGATCATACATTCATACATCCCATTCCAGTTTCTCAAGGCGAAGTTTAAAAAGTCATTCTCTTCTACCTTCCTGAGTACTTTTCAGTTCTTCAAACTCCTTATGAAAAGTTTCTTCTCTTCCTATTTCCTTTCAGATTTGTCTGTATGGACGTTTTCCATCATTTTTGTGATTCTTCCCTTCTTCACTTGGTCTGCAAGCTTCCTAGAAGTTCTCTCTTTCTCATCCCAGCTGTTTCACAATTTCAGAAGCCTTTTCCACAAAAAGCAAAATCTCCCCTCTGTTCAGAGGTTTCCAAGACTTTGCTGTCTTTGTTTATTTGTTTGTTTGTTTATCCATGGTCACCATAGTTGACAGGTGGTAGGCTGCCCCTCCTGTGCCAGTCCTAGGGATGTCTCAGCTGTTCTTGGCCAAAGCTGGGATTTGCAGGTGCTCTGTGGCTGAGTGCTCTACTAAATTCTCCCAGTATGGAGCTTTGAGAACGTTATACTCTTAAACTTGTTCATTTACTTTACAGGCAAATAAGTTGAAGTTTTTCTGAAGAAATAAATAGCATAATATTAAAACAATCCAAACTATTATTCACTATTTGTAAATGCAAATTGTTTCTTCAAGCCATTGCTTATAAACTAAAAAGTTTATCAAACCAAAGGCTTTTTGAAAAATGTATTTGACCTAGCAAACACCAAGTAGAGAGTAAATTAATTTAGATTAATACTTTTCCATGGAACGGAGAATTAAAACTGAATACTTACTCATATAATCAGAAGAAGGAGCCATAACCAAGAAGATATAATGAGATACAGTGCTTGAAGAAGTTTGGGGATCTTTCATTATTTACATAATTTACATCATTTTCTGACAATTACATTTTGCATGTAAGCCATCCAGTAAATTTTCCCCTTTAAATAGTTTTTTTTTTTCTTCTCAAATCTTCTCAAAAGAAATTCTAAGCTTCAGATATCTTCAAATATCACGTTATGAAAAGGCTTTGAGAGTTATTGCATCGTTTTATTTATACACACTATGTTTGAATTTTCATGATGTATAGCAAGGCTAGTATCCTAGTGAATACAAAAAATTAAATAGCTCCCTTAAGGAGGACAGAGCTTTCCCTTCACTTAAAGCCAAAATGGAAAATATCTGTGGACCTTGCCCAGAACGAAAAGAGAAATTTCTATCTACACTTCAATTGTGCTTCTATAGTCTTCTTCCAAAGATATGTATCTTCAGAGCTGACTTCTAATGCAGGCCAGGAATTGTAGTACCTCTGTTTGTCATAGCCCAAGGGAGGGAGAAAGTTCATTCCAAAATTTTAGATTCCTACTAGCATGGTTGTGGGCATGTGTCAGGGTCAGTAAACACAGTCTGTGCTCATGGATTTAAAATTGAAGGTGAATTTCAGCACTAAGTTTAATTTAGCCAATTTACACTTGGACTTTTGTACCTCTCATACTCAATATCATCATAATTTATATTCCAAAATATTTCTGTGGGAAATAGTTGAAGCATTTCTTGCTTTTTACTGCCTATAGTGCTTTTATCTTAAGAACTCATCAGTTATGAAAATTTTGTTTTCTTGAAAAAGGTTTTCTGGCAGTTCTGTGGTTGAAAAAGGAACAAGGATGAGAGAGTGTAAAGGAATGGGAAAATAGGAAAAGACCTTTCTTTCTAATGTTTTCAAAAATATTAGAATGGTTTAATTGTTCAAGGAACATTGAGAGAAAACTTCTGATAATAAGTGCCACTTGGCTTCTGTCTCCTCTAAAAACATATCCACTATTGATCTCAAATATAATGATGACATTAAACTGTTAAACTGCGGATACACTTATGTATTCAAAAATCTTTTTACAATTGTTTCAGGCCTCAAATAACATTGTCAGGAATTTCTTTAGCAGACTGTTCTTGTCCCTGCTCTCTGTGTGCGAGATTATATGCTACAAGAGTAAGAATGTATACAGGAGATTTAAGATTGCTTCATTTAATGACATTTTCCAATTTCAACTTCTGTATCATTTTATTTTTTTATTTTAATATAGTCATGGGTGAAAAAAAAAAACACAAAACACTCATCTTTGTGGGAAGAAGATTGCTTTCTGTTTTTCATATGATAGAGAAAAGTTTTTGTGTTTATACTGAAGTGATTGTAACAAAAACAAAATCCTGAAGGTGGAAGAATAGTAACAACTACAATAGAAACACTAGAAAAAATAAAATAAAATAAAATAAAATAAAATAAAATAAAATAAAATAAAATAAAATAAAATAAAATAAAATAAAATAAAATAAAATAAAATAAAGAGAAAATACCTTCTCTTTTCCTGTTCTGGAAATCCAGTTGACTTTAATGTCATCTGCATTGGTACAGGGAGAGCGTAGAAACATAGCAAAGAAGTGAAAAAATACAGACTGTTAGTTTTTGTACGTACGTTTTTTCCCATTTATCAGTCAGAAGCATTTTCTGCAGTAATAAATGAAATCCCAGAGATTAAAATCACAAGCCTCAACTGGTCGAGAAGAATCCTTTTTGTTAGTTTAATTTTGAAAACTGCAGAACGTACTAACACTTTTCATTTTTATTCCATACTGTTTAATGACTGTGTGCAGTTTCAATGTTAATACTTATAATTAAAATTAAGTAATAATCTGACACCAAGGAATTTCATATCTAAATGCAAAATGATGGAAAAAGTCTGCAACTGAGGCATTTCCACAAGTTCCCAGTTTTCAAAAAATAAGCCTTCAGGGAGCATAGGCCAACATTCTAAGCAGATTTCAAAAAAGCTATGAGTGAAAGAAACACTCTCCAGAGACTTGTCATTACAGCAGCAAGAAAATGAAAAACATTTCTGAGCTGTTAAAGAATTTGTGATGCTGCCTAAAGCTTTGTTATTCATTTTAAGAGCCTGATATGGAACACCTAAAATAAGGGTGATCATGATTTTTATTACTTACAGTAACAATGACAGTTTTATGAAAAGCATATCTGCCCTACCCAGAACACATACAGAAGCAAATTTCTTAAACTTGTATGCTTCATTAATCTAGTGCTACTGCACACAGAGAAGTGTCTGAATACCTCCTAACAGTACATCACAACAGCAGTGCAGAAGATCATTTCTTTAATATAGATGAACATTTTTTTGCACAAGGCAAACTATATGCACATCCACCAGTTACCACTCTTTGAGTAGATATCCCATGTTCCTGAAATTCAGCACAAATAAATAAATAAATAAATAAATAGATAGATAGATAGATAGATAGATAGACAAGTAAAATTAGGATATTCTAGTATCACATTTGATATAGTTAATTAGGAATTTCTACAATGACTCGATTTACTTGGGTAGCCCTCTTTAGATTCAAAGCTGACTCCTGTGATTACTGTCTTTCCAAACGTGTCAGCCATCCTTTTTTTAGTGAGAATAGATTGCTTCCTGACATCATTCAATGATGAAGTACAAAAAAAAACATGTCCCTGCTCATGCAGAATTTTTGCACCTCTGAGAAGTTATGTGTATGAATGTTTTTTTAATCCCCTTATTCAATGCTTGCAAGCAGTATCTGAAAGAGATTGCTCAAACATGGTCCCCAGAGTTCAATTAAAGTAGATGTTCTTGTCCTTGGATGTGATGTCCATAAAATCCTATTATATTGGAAATTTGCTGTGTTGCAGAAATCTTGCAGCTACCCCTCTTTCAACTTGCTGTCCATTGTCTTTGATCTAAGATTTCCCTTCAGATGTGTTTGGTTATTTAGGTGTCAGTAGTAGGGGAGGCTAAAAGTGCATTTCAGTGGATAGCCATAAATTATGTTTGCTCCCTCTTTTATTTTTGGAAAGTGTCCTGAAATTAATTGTGTTTATATGTGACTAAACACAGTTGTACACAGTAGTTAGCATATGGTAAAGTGTAGTTTGTGAAGACACAATTGCAAATTTGCAGGGCTACAGTTTCATTTACCTTGCACCACTGTAATCACAGCTCATATATGAGATGCTGATGTTCATTTGTTTGCATGAGGAAAAACACAAAACTTGTCTTGAATGTGCTTATTTATCAAAAAAGAGAAAATTTCTTAAATTTGAAAGTAAGAGTAAAATAAAAAACCTTTGTTCAACTCTGAATCTCTCATATGTTTATCTAAGCTCAAATTGAAATGTAAGATATAAAAACTTCCCAGTGATTTTCCTGCTGTTTCTACTCTCTGGAATTTTTTTTTCAGCCATTCTATTTCATTTCCATAGTCTAGTGTATAGCTTTGAGTCATATATCCAGTTGAGTTCTACCAATTCCTCTTGTACAATGTCTGGGTTTCCTTTGTATGAGTACTATCAAGAATAAGTGCAGAGTTTTTGATCCTTACTTTTTGTTTTAACATTCTACTTAGCAGAAAAAACAAGTTCTAGACACAAACTGCTGATTTTTGAGTGTGTGTTTTTATATGTGTTCTTGCTGTGTTAAACCTAGCTGGACATGAGTATAATGCTTCATTTTTCACACTTTGGAATTACATCTACATGAAAAAAACTAATTTTATTTTGCCACTGATTCATGTGTTAACAGGGTTGTAGAGAAAAATGTGATTAAAATGATTGCTCATATCTATGAAGGATTATGACAAAATTTCCTTAAGCTATTGACAATGCCGATTTGACCTGAAATAGGCTTCATTATAAACATAAATTTAACACATCTTTACTTATAATCTCTCTGGAGTGCTCATTAGCTCAGATGAAGTACTACACAAGTGCAGTTATCGAAATCAGGTCTAAAACTACCCAATGTCACATACAGATAGAATTCACCTGTATCAGAGGTAACTAGCTTTTAGATGTCTTAGAATACGATTCTGAAATGAATGACATTGATGTTCTCGTTAGTGTTTCCCAGGGAAAATGAAGAATCTCAGCGTACGAATACAAAAAGCCTGCAGAGCAAGAAATGCTGGGGTTATAACAGAAATTTTGTACAGAAGTAACTTCTCTCAATCTTTCTTACTTGCAAGATTTTCCAGGTCACATATCATCTTTGTCACTTGTCAATACCTTAATGATGTAAACATAGAGTGGTGTATAGGACTGCTTTAAACAATAAAATAGGCTCCTTCCTTTCTTCAACTTGAGAATAGCTAGGTATTTTACAACTTTGGGCAATTGCTATCTAAATAAGAATCATTTTTTCCCTCTTTCTAAGGGAATGAATGAAAAAAAAATCTCCTACTGTGTTGAATTTTTTCTCTTATCTTGTTTCTTCATCATCAGGATTAAAAAAAATAATAAAATCAGATGTTAAGGAAAAACACAGTATGCGTTATTTCGCTTTTTTTTTCATATGAGCCTTCTCTGAATCTAGAGGAATCGCATGGTACAAAACATTAGGTCCTAAGTCAGATTTCAGTCAGATTGCTTTGTAAACAGCAGAAGTGAACTTTCTACACTGTATTTAATACGTTTCTGTGCTCTCATGATCAAGATGCCCTCTTCATCCTTTGCCTCTGCTCTGATTTCACTTCGGAACTGAAACCATCCATTGGTAGGAAACTCTTTATGCAGTGTGAAGCTGTTTTCCTCTGTACTATTCAAGTCAGTACTTTAGGTGTCAAAGCTGTTTAGCCCTTGTACTTTTCATAATGGGCTTTTAGCTGAAGAGGTCAGGAGAAGCACACCACTGCATGCAATTACATTCATCCACCTTTCATGGGCTGTTGAATCAACAGCACTACCCTTAACTGAATGAAAAAGCACAGCCTTAAAAGGGAGAAGAAAGCCAATGTACTGACAGCATTAGGACTTTCAATAAATATATCTAAAATCAAACAAACAAAAAATTGCAATTAATATTTCAAAGATTTGGGTTAACAAAGAAAGCACAAAAATATTTTAAAGTGGTGCTAAATATGGCATTGAAATGTTGATGACAATTGCACATACATATTCATACAATTCCTACAGCATATCACAGATTACAAACAGTTTAAAAAATCAAAACAAGTACTTTTTAATATAAAATAACGTGTATTTTGTTATTTTTAAAACATTTACAATTTATTCAGAATACTTGCTACAGGTTTTAGACTTTTGTAAAATAGTTTAGTGTTAATTCTATTTATACTGAACAGAATAAGATGTGAACTTCAAAACATAACTTAAATAAAAATTAGTTGTTTAATGGGATGTCTTTTTCAGATGAGATCCTGCATTTAATTCAGTTAGTTTCAGTGTATCAGGGGTGATATGTGATTTGTTTTTTACAGTTCTTTGTTTTTTACAGAAATAAGATGATCGCTTTTTTTATCACCAAAGAATTTATTTTTTCTTAAGATCAATCACTATAATAGCAAATGTTGATAATTTTGATTACTTATGCAAAATGTTTTGCTCGGAAAATTAGATGTAGTCAGATATTCAATTTTTAAAAATAGTTCCAGGAAGGAAAAAAAAAATATATACATAATGATACAGAGAAGTCATGTTATATGTTTGAATTTACTCATTAGAATTGAGATTTGGGAAGTTTTTATGCCATCCATTAAATGAGCATTTTGAAAGCAGATTTTGACAGTTGTATGGCTATAATATGAATATATACAATTTTTTTTTTTATGGGGAAGAAGATAAAACTAGAATATCAAGACAACAAAATGACATAAGATTTAGAAATCTCTCTTCACATAGAAAGACTTAAATTGCTGTTTTAAGTCCTTCAAAATTAAGCAGTGCTTGATCATAGTCTAAAATTGCCTGTTACAATAGGAAAACGCCTATAATAGAGTGCCCTTTAATGTTTCAGATGAGCATAAAAAATTGCTGGAAGCTAAAGTCTTTAAAAGTTCAGACTATTAAAATGCATTTTACTGTTAACCATTAAAACAACTTATTTACAACTGTGGCATTTTCTTGAGATATTTCTTGGCTGCTGCCTAGAACAACATAGCTCGCACCCACTTAACCTGCTTTCATAATGGCCCATGCATTTAGGCAGGAAGTCTTTCAGCATGCACCGTGCCACCACTTGCAAAGATTTGGTCATAGGCAGCAGAAATAGCAGTTAGACAAAGAAAGGGTATCATAAATATATATGCACATTTATACATATACATATATATAATTATTTATTTCATAGGTTGTGGATAACTCAGTTGATAGCAGACTCATTTCTTTTGCATGCTTAAGCGGCTGGACTGCAATTTAAGGTAACTCATTCTTTGCTGGACATGAGGATAACTTCTGTACTCTAATACCACTTCTGGAAGTTCTTACTTTTTACTGTTGGTTCCTTTCTTTCTTTTTTATTCTCATACCTCCTCACAGCACAAATAACTTCACAGAAAGCAACTAGTTAATCTGATAAAATAGCCCTAGACCTAGGATGTATTTCCCATCTTCTCATCTTTCTGTTGCAGATATGCTGAACTGCAGATTTTGCAGTCTTTTTCTTTCTTCTCTTTATATAAAAAGCTTTGAATATCTTCATTGTTTTCATTATGAAATATTTTGAAAAAAAAAAAAAGGTGAAATATCTGATTTTAATCACACTCACTTCAGAAAAGTTTGTCTGCTTTGTTTTTAAGCACAGCATCCTTATAATGATGCACAGAGGTCATTTTTAGAATAATTTTTCATTAGCTGCATATCTTGACCAAATGCAGTTGTTTCAACAAGCAACAAGAAGTTGTGTAATTACAACATTACCTTGCATAACTGGTGTATTAATAACTTTTCAAAGCTCTTGCAAGATCTTGGTGAGATAAGTATAAATTGGTGGTCAAAAGAGATTTTTTAAGTAAAATAATAAATATTAAAGGAATAATATATTGTAATATTATTATTTATTTACCAATATACCATGAAATATCTAATATGTGATTTCCTTACAGCATCAACAAAGATATTTAAGAGACAAAATATCTATGAATTCTGGATAACTAACTCATTTTCAACTAAAGGTCAAAATGGTTGTAAAAAATCAACAAATGTCTTTTAATTTTCTTTGAGAAAGCATCTTCCTAGTTGGACATAAGTAAATTTACACAGAAGTGACCTCTGACTTATAGTTGGAGCTCAGGTATGTTTGGAACATCTTGTTCAAGACATTCTTTTTTGACAATTTCCTTGAATAAAGTGTTCTTTTTCTTGTTGTTGCTTATTTTCCTTTGTTTTCTTTAAAGATAATATCTCTTATCATTATATCTTTACATTGTTTCTTTCAGATCATGAACCATACTGGTGTGCTTAAGATGACAAAATTACAGGCTGTATGCTGTAGTTTAATGTGGCATGCAGTTCTGCACCCACAGACATTCACTTACTCCTTTCTCCCAATGGGGTGGGGAGAGAGCTGGGAAGGTAAAACCCAAGTACAATTCATGGGCTAAGATAAAAACTGTTGAAACCAGAACAGTGATAATTTTTCAGTAAGTCAAGCGTTCTGTTTTCAGTGTTCTGTTAAGCATCTGTTTAATGAGATACAGAGAAGAATTGGAAAAATATTGCATTTAAAGTAAAAAGCAAGAAACAAAATCTCATTAATTCTATGGCATATCAAGAGACATTAATTATGCATATAGACCAATGTACAAATTAATATCATAACAGATCCATTAATGTTGAGATGTTGCATGGTTGTCACTATTTTTGACAACATGACCTTCCTGAATATGCTTTTTTTTTTTTTTTTTTTTTTCCCAATAATACCTCTTTCAGTTAATGTCGTAAGCAATAAAATTTGATCTAAAGAGTTAAAAACTGTTCCCCTCTCCTATGTTCACCTAATTATTTACATTGTGATAATTTGTGTATTCGGTAATCAGAGTGTGGGAGTTTGGCAAAGGTTTTCTTCATTTATTCTGTGATTGCTTAACCTATCATGTGTTGCTATTTCAGGTTGTTTTATGAAAAGGTTCTAAAAGTCCAGCATATAAAACAAATAATACTTAGCAGCCAATTTAATAATAAATAACTGCAAATGTTTATGAGAAGCTTTACTGAAAATCTTTCTTTTGCTTGAGATACCACCCACTTTTGCAGATGTCCGTCCTACTCATTATATTCAGGAAGCAGAAATCTCACCATTTCCAATGGTAGAAAATGCTTGGGATCAGTCTTCTCAAGCTATGGTTTTTGCATGTCTAGGAGGTTTGATGACAAAATGGCTGTATTAACATCTTTCTTAACTTGATTCCTGTGGGGTTAAGGAAAACTCCATGGAATGTCATTATTCCCTTAAAGATATGCATTTTGCTTGACTGACAAAGTGGTTTGATTCCAAATCAGCACTTTTTGCTGGAAAAATTGGATGTCATCAATAAGAGATGGAGTCATTTTACTGGTTTGTTTTTATTTTCTTCTGAACTTTTTAACTAAAGTCAAAATAACTAGTGTGAGTAAAAGAAATGCACGTGCATTTAAAATATTGTTTATCAGAATTTTAATATGTTAAGATACTAGTATTATTTTTGCATTTCAAAACAGAAAGAACAAACTGATATAAATGTACTATTTTAAATATGTATAATAATTGCTTTCTCCCCACTTGATTGTTTAGGATAGTGTTAAGGAAGTAAATATAACAAAAGGGATGAAGTTTTTGAGCTTTAAATATTACATTTGAGCTACTCACTTTAGATTTGAAGCATAGTTAAGCAAAGAAATAACCACTTTTATGAACACTTCTGACACTTTAGAAAGTACTTTAAGATATTATCCGATATTAAGATCTTGTGTAAAATTCTATTTCAATTAACAATGTCTAACTCATAAAACTGTCTTACGAGTTTTTCTTCTTTATTACATCCAAGCTCATTTACTCTCAGGTTTTCTTTTGGAGATAATCAAATAATTCACTTAGAAAGAGACAAAACATTTTTTCATTTGCCTTCAGGCAGACACTGTATATGCATATGGATGTCTTCAGCCACAAGCATTCTTTAACTCTGTGTAGGTATATCACTGGTTGTCAAACTTTCACTTTTTCTTGCTGCTTCACAGTATAAGCTAATAAATGTATTTTTGGTGAACTGTGGAATTTCCTCCTATTATTTCAGGCTCTTTCACTTGAAAACAATAGTCCAAATAGTTGTGTCTCAACATTTCAAAAACACCTCTTGAATCCTGCAGAAGACTATTATGCTACAAAGCAACGGCTTTGGAGACTAGTATGCTCCTGAGGACACAACTGTTTTTGAACAAATTACTTTGGTATCCAGTATTCTATCCCAAATGTAACCCAGGAAAAAGTGTAGATGAAATTTATGGTGACACCCTTAAATAAAAATACTCACTATGTAGATCACTACACTTGGCAACATGAGTCCTGGTCTATCTTTCAGAGTATTAAAGAAATTATTTCATGATAATGCCCACACAGTTTACCAGTTTGAATGTAATAAATGCAACAAAACTTTGAGTTGCTATTCATAAGTGACAGTCTTTTTTCACTGTTGCCTTTAGGGATTGCTCTAAAAGGCAGTATTCTCCAAGCTGTATTAGACAACATAATTTTTGCTTCCTTTTTAAATGATGTGCCTTTAAAACTATCAGTGGCAGTCTCAAAGATTTGAAACCTACATGTATGGCTAGTTAGCTTATTGGCTGCTGACAGTTACTGCTATGGCATTCTGCTATGATGTGCAAAAATGACGCTTGTTTGACTTTTTTCTTTTATATCATTAGCTTTCATTATTTTTTGCATCGCCTTTTAGCAGTACTGTTCTGCTCTTTTTCACTAGTCTGAAACACCGTCATAATTACAGATGGAATTTTAGGAAAGGAAAGAATGAAAATGAGAAATATTATGTAAAATCAAGCTCCGTCTTTGTCTTAAGTGCTGAGTGTAGCTTTCATTCTCTCATCTCAAAAAATTAAACCTGGAACTCTTTCAAGAGTGACAGATAATCAGAGATTGTAATCGTTTTTGTATGAGTCATGACAAAATTAGCTTCTAAACTCAGCCTGAAAAAGAAATAACCAAAGGAAAATTAGAGAGAGATCTCAAATGTTATCCCTGGCAAACAGGAAGAAAACAAGGATCAATTTTTCACATTGTCATTCAGCAGAACAAGGAGCTAGTAGTTGGAAAATACAATAAAAAAGAAAAAACTGCATAAAAAAGAAAGGTAGTTTTTGTATATTTTTTCTAATATTTTGTAGTACAATGTTACAATGTAGAGTTCTGTACAATGTTATCAACATTAACTTCAAAAGAGTCATACTGATGCAGAAAATCCATTGAGACTTATTAAATATAAAATGACATTTCTCAGAAATAAAACCAGAAAAACAGAATTTGTATGATGGATTCTTCAGCTTTAATTCATTCAGTTCCACAGTTTTCACTTCTTTCTTCTCTCTCTTCTTTGAAAATATACCATTCTTATGCTTTATGTATGCATGGCACATAGAACTCTTCAAAGTAGGTTCTTTCTTAAGATTCCTTTAGCTGAAATAACTGAAACCTGTTGTAGCAGGATTCATGAAGTACTTCAAAATCACTGTCAATATAAAGATTAACTTCTTGTTTACTGTTTGGTGATCTATTCATCCTATGTAACTTCAACAGTTTTCAGAGAAATTTTAGTTGCACTACTCTCCCAGGGGGCACAAACACATGCTGGAGGCCACCCCACCACAAAGCACCTCTGCAGAAAAAGATGTAGAAGTTTTGGTACACACAAGCTGAACTTGAGTGAGCAGTATGCTCTTGTGTCTAAGAAAGGTGATGATATTCTTGGCTGCATTAGGTAAACTATCCACAACAGGATGAGAAAGGTGAGTGCATCCCCCAGCGTTGTTAAGACTGCAATAGGAATACTGTTCAGTTCTGAGTCCTCCAATACATGACTTCATAAAAAGATGAGAATATGTAATGGAGAATGACAGTCGGGTCACTGACTGACTGAAAGCTATATAGTGTGGCAGATAAATTCTGAGAAACAGAGGCACACAGAATCCAGAACTACAGTTCCAGATACATACATAATTTCTATAAAGAGAAACTATAGCCAAACAAACAAGGATATTTTAACTTTATATTTTCTTTCTCCAAAAGCTCATTACTGAAGAAAAGCTACTTTCTGGAAGATGTTTTACTTATGTTTTCCTACTGTCTGTCACAGTTATGAAGGATTAGTGACTGCTGTTGAGAGAGTTTTTGTGTAATTCTAAGAGCACAAAAATGAATATAAAGTATTGGGAAAAAGTCAGTTGTAAACCCGGCATAGGGCTGTGGATATTCATTTCAGGGGAGTTGGACTAGATAACCTTTGAAGGTCCTTTTCCAACTCTAAGGATTCTAGGATTCAAAGTTTGGGCTCCTTGCCTTTCTATGACAGGCAGAGCAAGGATGCTTCTGAGGATGAGCTACAGCATACAGAAAAATTCTGCAAGTCTTTCCTGTTTGTTAGGGATATAATTTACAGTGAGGTACTTCTGCATTTAGAGTGCATGATGGCAGCAGCTAAAGAAGAGATAACTGTCTTAATTCCATAGAGACTATTTATTCTTTAGGAGATTGAAAAAGCTCCAGATGTGGACCACAGTTCCCCAGACCATAATATTCTTGATATTCACTGATATGAACAAAAGTATCAGCTCAATAAAGGAGCCCTTACAACACAGAGAGCTTCGGAAAATTTAAAATTTAAGCCATTTACAAAAATACTTATTTCTGAATGAAATGCCAATCAGTGAATTAATCTTTCCTGATAAAAATTTTATCATTTCACAAGAAAACCCTGAAGAATTTGTGTGCTATATGTCTTCACATAAAAAAACCTCCTTCTTTACTGTTTTCTTTTCCAAGTCAAGAAGTTCAGAGAAATTAATCATATCTACTCTTATATAACTGCAATGAAAGAAGGTTTTATCTTCTGAAAGTTCTTGCTCTGTATGAGAAGCCTTGAATTCATCCTTTCTTGATGCCATTTAGATAGATATGATCATGCTATTTTATTCTCAAGAAGTGAACTCACATATTTTTCCACAGAGTATATCAGAGTATCATCAATTGTGTAAAGTTTACTGATTTAGGCAGTTGTCATATTTCATGCTATAATATGTCTAACACCTTCATATTAAACCACTGGGAGCTGTCACTGTCTTTGGATGTCCTTCATTTCACTTATCTCTTGGAACAAAACAGATCAAAAAAACATAGCCATGCATAATTTTTAACAAGCCATGTTTTGTAGTGATGCTGGAGCAGAAAAGGTTCTACAAAGTGACTGAAGAATACACAGTAAATGATGCATATGGCATCAAAACAAAAGATAGAGGTCTGGGATTACATTTTCATAGAATCTTATGTTGGCTAAAGACCTATGCTGCTTCATCAGTATTCAAAATCTAAGCACTTTTTTCTCTGAAACCTGAAAGCTGCCTAAGGTATTTTGTTCCATCTTCGATGCTTTGTTTTCCAGAATAAAACTTATCCCAGTAACATATCTCTCAGCCTCAGTAACCTCTATTTGTCTCTTACACAGGTTACAATTTGTTTCTGAATTAGTTATGACCATAACTATGGGAGATATACATACGTATCACATATATACTATATATATATACACACACATTTTCTTATTATGTTCTTTGTCAAATATATTATATAATTTGCATATGTTACTGTCTCGCTCCAATTTATAGGAGGGAGAGGAGGTTCTTTTATTATCTATATACCCGGCGTGAGATTAAGAAGCAACGGTTCAAATGTTGGTCCAACCAGTTTATTACAAATCTTAATTAGGGAAATGGGGAAGGGGAGGACGGACACTATTGTGAATTAGGGTAATGGGGAAGGGAAGGAGGGCGATAGAAAAGATAGAAAAGAAGAGGCAAGGAGTCTTTATAGGCAGCAAGAGGGACATAGTCACCACCATGGATCCAGCGTGGTTCGTAGTTCAGTCTTTGATCTTCAGTAGCGGTGGGTTGTCAGGCAGAGTTGTCCTGTTGACAACGACGACGACGCACCATGGCGATGATGTCCCCTTTTCAATGGTTTCAAAGTGGTGAAGTCAGCTATCTTTGGAGTGACAGCTCAAATCCAAAGTGGTTGAGTCAGCTTTTCTTTGAGTGGCAGCTTCTGGCTCTGGGATCTCAGCAGAAACTCCTTTGTTCCCATCTTCCGGGCCTTGCCAGCAGATAAGAGGGAGCAGGGGTGCCCATCTGCATCCTGTTTCTCACAGAACACGATGGTATCGTTCCCCAATTTTCCCACACCTAGCTGGAGCTGTTTTGTCACAGGCCAGATCTTCCGCCAGTAAACACTCCTGTGCATTCTCATCTGCTCTTCTACAGAGCAAGCAGCTCTGAGGGAAGGGGCTTTCAAATGTTCCCAAAGGGATATCCATTGTCACACGGTTAGCACCCATCAGTTGCCTCCTCAACAAATCACTCAGAATCTTATCACAAGAAATACCTCAGGAAGCAAGCTTTGAGTCAAAAAACAAAGAAGGATTCTCACAGTTACATACTTTACTCTCTTCAACAAACCTGAATTAACTCAGTTTCTATCTACTGTTCAAGGCTGTTTCTTTTTACTGATCAGTAACTGAACTTTTGTAGATTGCCTTTATACTCTCTGTGGCTTTTGATGTTATCTTGTTCTCTCAAAGACTACTGCTTCATAAATAACATGATTTCAGGCTTCCCTTTCCAGAATTCAGTATATGCACTCAGTTCTATGCATAGGTACAATGTAGGCCACAGTTAAATACATTTACGAGATGTGTCTGCTTATAAAAACGTGTATGTGCTCAGCAGCCCATTTGAGCTTTAGTTCTGGGAGTGCCATAAGGAAAAGGGCCTGACAGCCTCAGACCATCCCTGAAGGAAACGCAGTCCCAGGGGCAAGGTGCGGCAGGGCAACTTTCACTGTGCCCTGGGAGCACAGTGGACAACAGGTCAGAGTGGGAAGGTATTTAAGATAATGTAAGAGTCCCAAGCTGACCTATGTACATGTATATATATGTACATAACATGTGTTACACATACATACATGTTTTCCTTTTACACTTAATAAGATCTTGAGTGTCAAAATTTGGATATATGCATCCTAGGTGTGTGTAATCTCATAACATTCTACTTCTCTGAGAGGCCTCAGAAGTCAACATGCAGTTCACCAGCTCTAACTTCCAAAATGGTTTTTAGTCAGTTGTAAATATCATGAGACATTAGCAAAATGTGGAAAGGGTGAAAAGAAATCTGTTTTGGTAACCTTACTTCTTGCAGCTCTAATAATCCTGAGATTACATAATGAAGTAGGAAAGGAAAAGCAAAAATCTTTCCCTTTTTTTTTTTTTTCCCCTGATTGATTTTCTTCATTTAAATAAGAGTTGATATAATTTCAATTTTAATTTCCCTTGAACTCACTGCTTTATTTGGTCTGTTGTTCAAGGCGACATATGAACATGAAACAAGGCAACATGAAAATATGTAGCTATGCCTCTGCCTACCCATCATTATTTACACCCATACAAGTTGTGGTCATGATATTATGTGCTTGTCCACAAGCATAATACTTTTTTTTTTTTTTCTAATAGGCATGATTCTTTCTTTTTTCTCATCCATTATCTTTTATTTCACATAGGAAAAAAATAGTCTTTATGTTCTGGTAAGAACCTGAGACATTCTGAATCATTAGACTAGAACAACAGTATTGGAAAGTAAATTGTTTAGAGGAATATAAATAGAAAGGTAAAGCACAGACAAAAAATTACAGACAGGAGTTTTGGAAACACAGTCTTGGAGTAAATTATAGGAAATAATACAAGAGAGTTGTGAAGGTTCTTGCATATGGCACGAACAAAGCAAAGGGGTAGTATCAGTCACTGCTTCCAAAGCTGGCACAGAAATAAGGGGTAGAAAGCTCTATTGAATCCTGAATAAGTATATATTTGAAGAACTGAAGCCAAAAGTGTGATAATTTTCCTACAAGCTGAAAGAGATTCACTTTTGCATATAATACATTTTTTTCAGGTCATAGAATAGGTAATACATTTTTTAAATTACTGTAAGCTCAGTAACATATAGAAATTGATGTGAATCTCCTTTTATAAATCAGTTAACTAATTTTCATAGCCAAATAGATCTCTAAAGATAAATAATTAATTTAAACAATAGTTCAGGCTCATATTTTTTCTAGTTCATGTTCTAAATAGTGCTCACGTATAGCACTTAGGGGCGAAAACAATTGCATTGAATACACAACTTGTGAACCTTGCACGTGGACATCATCTGAATGCCCACTGAGCTGTAGAGTATCTGTGTGTGTGCTGTACTTGATCGTGTGTGATTGCTGTCTAGAGCAGCCTTTACTTATTACTCGAATAAGAGAAAGTGAATACAAATTCTCAGAAGTTTAAGAAGAGATCAGGTTCTCAGCAGTCACAATTCAGTGCATTGAGTGGACTTAAATAATGCCAGTGGATGAAAACAAACCTGAAACCCACTCACCACATATATTAGGGAGCAGCAAGCGTGATCTGCCAGAAGCCCACCAAGAATTCTCATGTGGGGTCCAGCAGGACCTACAGCCAGGTCTCATCCCATTGCCCCACTCTGGGGCTGAGGCTGGGCCAAGTCAGTGCTGCGATCTCACAGATGACTCCAAGTCTTGATGAGACTCAGGGTTGATGAGTCTGGGGCCTGGGCATGTGATGGAGCTCCAGTGATGGATGTACATGATGCCACTAATAACTTATTCAAGAACACTATTTGTACATACCAGAATTCAATATACTTTTTTAGGGGTGTGGGAGGATGCACAGAAAGTTAGCAGAAAGTTCCTACTTGTTACTATACTCCAAGGAAGAGGAGCACAACTAACTAGACAAGAAAAGGGTGTATTCTGGACCTGGATTTAGCTGGTACAAATTGGAATAGACTAATTCTATGCTGAGATGTTCCTGGTCTCTGTGGGCCATTTTGGCAGTGAACACTAATGTTGCTCCTGACATTCACTGCGAAGCATGAAGATAAAGAAATAAATGTTTGGATCATAGCAGCAATGTGTTTTTGCATATATAGGTTTGGACTTTCATCACTCATTTGCTGTAGGTGAGAGTTTTTTATTTTTATTCGTATTGGTGGCTTTTTATTTGTCTTATTTTGCTTTGTTTTTGTTACTGCACTGCAACTGCAAAACTGTCTGGCAGAAGAGTTATTATACATATTCCTGTTTATACTCAAGGCATCTATCTCTACCTTTTGCCAGCTTTATTTCTGAATATACACACACAGCT